GGATTGACACATGGAGGGACTGGGGGACTTGACACATGGAGGGACAGGAAGGGTAATTGAGACACATGGCGGGACTGGGGGAAATTGACACATGGAAGGGGCTAGGGGAATTGAGACACATGGAAGGGATGGGGGATTGACACATAGAGAGACTGAGTGATTGACACATAGAGAGACTGGGGGGATTGACAACTGGAAGGGACAGGAGGGGGAATTGAGATACATGGAAGGTAGTGGGGGGAGGGGATTAAACCAAATGGAAGGGAAGGGGGGTTGACACATGGAGGAGAGTCTTGGGAGGCTGGAATTGACACATGAAGGGATTTATGGGATTGCCACATAGGGGGGGTTGACACATGGAGATACTAGGGAGGTTGACAACTGGAAGGGACAGAAGGGGGGATTGAGACATATGGAAGGGATGAGGGGATTGACACATGTACAGCCTTGGGGGGTGGGGTGGAATTGACAGATGGCTGAACTGGGCAGGCTGGCAGTGACATATGGAGGGGCTTGAGTGGGATTGGCACATGAATAGACAGGGGGGATTGACAGCTGAAGGGTCAGGAGAGGAAATCGAGACATATAGAAGGGACTTGAGGGGGAGTGAGACACATGGAATGACTAGGGGGATGAAAATTAAACATGGAGGGGCTGGGATGGGGAGAATAACACACATGGTGATTCCCCAGGGTAATTATGCCCAGTGGTTTCTAGTTACACCTCTGCTTTTTATACTATAGTCTTGAGAACAGCCTATTGAACATGGGGTCTATTATCCCCTCAGCATCACACAAGGTCATAAAGTACCTGGTTCACCCTATATTATCCTACTGACAAAAGCCCTTAAGACCATTGCAACCTCTGTGTACTCACACCTGCTTCCCCTCTGGTTGCCACTCCTGCAAGCCCTAGATACTTTGGCTTTCTCTCGCATGTCCATATTGCTGGTTTTGTATCTGCTTGCCTCGAGGACTACTTTTTCCCTACTGCCTTCTTGTATCCCTGTGGCCATTATAATCTACAGTTCCCTTTTGGTAGAGTCTACTGGGATCCATCTAATTAAAGTAGAACTTTCCCAAATTATTTTTTATAAAATTATGTATACTTATATTTATATTTAATTAATATGTATTTGTGACTTGAGAAATTTAACTGAAATGTTTAAATCTGCACCTCTTTATCCTGGACTTGCAGGATGTAGCTTTTATGGTGCATGGATTGTTCATTTAAATGTAGAAGCTTTACATTTAGTCAGTGCAATGTAAACCTGCTACTGTATTAGGGGCTTACAGAGGATTTTTCAAAAATGATTACATTGGTCTTCAGGGGTGATTTCTATTAATTAACTGGCATATGTGTAAAAACTAAAGATTTTAGAACAATTAAAGAATTTATAAAGTAAATTATCAACATTATTCATTCATATTGTTCACTATTCAATGCTCTTATCAGAGCTATTATCACTGGCAATAAAATACTAAAAAAGGAATAAAATTATTGTGTGTAAAAAAAAAAAAAAAAAGTAAAACATTTCTAAATAAAGTTATAGCTACTTACATCCGTAAAGAGTTAATATATGTTGATGATTGCTTTTTATTGCAGTCCAGTAATCTTTCACAGAATAGTAAGCAGGCTTCACTCTCAACCTGTTGAGCTTTTAAAGGAAACTTTGTGAGTGAGCTTCTGTGCACAACTATCTTGATTGCCATCTGAAATTTTAGAGACTAATCCAGCAAGTACTAAATGAGTAATGCAATAAATGAAAATGCATACATTTTCTTAAAATTTTTAATAGCTTTATTTTTTGTAGACTTTAAGTAACTTCACAGATAAAAGGGAAGCCTTCCAGGTCATGAAATATCAGGATATTTCTTAATTTGCTTGCAATTGACATAATCACAAGTTTCCAATTAAATAAAACAATGAACATACTGCATTGTCTGCTCATTACAGTAGTATGTATTTTATACTACCAAATTAATTGCATCACCATAGAAACAGAGCATCAGGAATCTTTAGTACTTCTTTCTATTGGGTTCAAGGACTCAAAGGAGAAACGGTTTATTTAAATGAGAAACAAGGTCTAAGCAGAAAACTGTGAATTGTCATTTATTCTGCTGTTACAAATGTAGCCATTGCTCAAATGTAATTTCAATGACTCTTCTATGTATTTCTAAAAAATCCTAGAAAGAAAATTGTAATTAAAATATCTTTAGAAGCTATGTGTAATATGTCCACAAAACATTGCTTTTGGAACAACAGGTTTTAGATTATTTATAAAACCTTAACAAAGGGCGATTAAAACACATGTATAGTAACATCTCATTTAAATCTGATTTACCCGTATATACTCGAGTATAAGTCGACCCGAATATAAGTCGAGACCCCTAATTTTACCCCAAAAAACTGGGAAAACTTATTGACTCGAGTATAAGACTAGGGTGGGAAATGCAGTAGCTACTGGTAAATTTTTAAATAAAATTATATCCCCCCAAAATTATACTAATTGAATAATTATTTACAGTGTGTGTATGTAATGAATGCAGTGTGTGTGTGTGTATATAATGCAGTGTGTTTGTATGAATGCGGTGTGTGTATGAATACAGTGTGTGTGTGTATGAGTGCAGTGTGTGTGTGTGTGTGTATGAATGCAGTGTGTGTGTATGAATGCAGTGTGTGTATGAATGCAGTGTGTGTGTGTGTGAATGCAGTGTGTGTATGGATGCAGTGTGTGTGTGTGTATGAGTGCAGTGTGTGTGTGTGTGTATGAGTGCAGTGTGTGTGTGTGTGTGTATGAATGCAGTGTGTGTGTGTATGAATGCAGTGTGTGTGTATGAATGCAGTGTGTGTGTATGAGTGCAGTGTGTGTGTATGAATGTAGTGTGTGTGTAAGAGTGCAGTGTGTGTGTGTGAATGTAGTGTGTGTGTGTATGTGTGTGTATGAATGCAGTGTGTGTGTGTATGAGTGCAGTGTGTGTGTGTATGAATACAGTGTGTGTGTGTGATGTAGAGTGTGTTTGTGTGTGTGATGCAGAGCCTTGGTGGGGGGTGGGACTTTTTATTAATTTTTTAAAATTATTATTTATTTATTTTTTATATTATTAATATTTTTTATTGTAATTTTTTTTTATTATTTAATTTTATTTTCAGTCCCCCTCCCTGCTTGTTAGCTGGCCAGGGAGGGGGGCTCTCATTCCCTGGTGGTCCAGTGGATAGGCTGTGTAGGAGGGGGCTGGTAGCAAGCTGTAACTTACCTTTCCTGCAGCTCCTGTCAGCTCCCTTCTCTTTCCTCCGGTCAGCTCCACTGTAAGTCTTGCGGTTTGAGTGCCGTGTGGAGCCTTGCGAGCAGGCCTGCCACTCCAGGGGCCCGACCACCCTGCGGACCCCTGCAACCACCGTGCTGGCCGCCATGTGTAGCAGCCCCGGCTCGCTTGGTAGAACCACCGGGGCCACACGTTAAGGGTCCCATCGGGTGGCTCATGCTCTTAGGACTACCAGATATAAATTTATTTCCAGGGGCCATGTCAGCGCTGTGGCGCTTTAAAAGCACGATCAGGAAGAGTCACGAGATAGGAAGAGGAGAGAGTCAGAGTGAGACTCCCA